ACGCGTGTCGGACGCGGCGCACGTCGGGGTTGTGGCAGAAATGCGCACTGAGCGTTACCTAACCGTAACCCTAACCACGTATGAAGTTAATACGCTCAACCGGCCAATAAAGGCCAATGCAATTGGAGATCGCATCCTTTCATGTCTCCAGAAGGTGGCCCTGTGACTGTGGATGGATAACGGCATGAGAATGTCATCAGTGCAGGACTCTGATCCAACATGTAAAGTCTGAGGGGCTAGAACAGAAAGACTAAGGACAGTTTCTACCTGAGAGCTGTGACAGCTATCTCCCCCCTCCTCACACACACACATTCTCAGGGCTCTTCCAGACACAGACACCCCTACCATCACCCCTCCCCCACTGACACATACACACACATACACACACACACACACACACACACACACACACACAGAGCACACTAACTACACAGGTGACCCACTACCTCACTCAGCCTTTGTAAAGTTGGGACTTCTGTCTGCAGTTTCGTTGTGTGTACAGAAGCATGATGACAATCAAAAGATTGTGATTGTGACTGAGGCAGAGTGCAGCATGCAGAGGGCAGGGAGACAGCATTTGCTCTTTCATGGCAAAGCTTCAAAGTTCAGATGGCCGCCACGGACACGCCGTGTGACGTAAACTCACAATTTTTGGTACGAGTCATCATCAACATCTGAAGGCTCATATCACCACATTTGAGGTCAATACGGTCAACCGGCTAATAATAGCACATGAAAGTGTAAAACACGTTCTTTCCTATTGCCAGCAGGTGGCGCTATGACTGTGAATGGATGTTGGCATATGGGTTTCATTAGGGCAGGACTGTGATCAAGTATGTAAAGTTTGAGGCAGATTGGAGCATGACAGACAGTGTGTGCCTGTTTGGCAAAATGGCTCTATAACGCCTCCTGCATCAATTTATCCATTAGCCCCCGCAGGACGTTTAACCGGCTTTTACAAAAATTGGTAGGCATATGTAACACATCGGGACACACAAGAAAGCCTCTTGGACCCATACCGTAAACGCAACAGGAAGTCCGCCATTTTGAAATAACTGTGCAATTTCTTGTGATGTTTGTCATTTTCGAGAGCGAACTCCTCCGAGGGGTTAACTCCTACACGCCTCAAATTTGGCCAGCACATACAACAGGGCCTGGTGATTAAAAGTTCTTAAAATGCTCCGCAAAAGTCTGAGGACGTTGCCGTGGCGGCGCTCTGAATTGTGATGATTCGCCATCAAAAAGGAAGCGTGTCTAATGACCCTGTACATGCTCCAATCTGCCTCAAACTTTACATACTTGATCACAGTCCTGCCCTGATGAAACCCATATGCCAATATCAATTCACAGTCATTGTGCCACCTGCTGGCAGTAGGAAAGAACGTGTTTTACACTTTCATGTGCTATTATTAGCCGGTTGACTGTATTGACCTCAAATGCGGTGATATGAGCCTTTAGATGTTGATGATGACTCTGCCTCAGTCACAATCACAATCCTTTATTAAAGCCGCCACCTTGAAAATTTCAACGGAGTCCTGTCGGAAGCACGTTTGGCCGAGAGCTACGCAATTTGGTAGGCATATAGAGCAAGTCGTACTGCTCCAAGTTCTAAAATGCAACACGGCTCAACAGCACCCCTTACAATATTTCAAAAGAGCCCCATCGCGGCTATGTTTCACCTACAACTACGAAATTCACCACACATGTGTAACAACTCGTGACGCACAGAAAAGTCCTAGCATGTTTCTGTGAACCCAACAGGATATCCGCCATGTTGGAAAAACGGCAAGCATGCCGGGCCATTTTTGCTGAAAAATGGTCATTTTTGGCCATTTTCAAAATCGAACTCCTCCTAGGGGGTACGTCGTACCCACCTGAAATTTAGCCAGAGCGCGTTTCCACCACAGCTAACACGCACGCCGCCACGGCTCGCCACTAAACAGGAAGTGGCTCGTAACTAGGCCACACGTGCTCCGATCTGCCCCAAACTCGACACGCCGGATCACAGTCCCGGCCGGAGCACGTTTTCACCACACCCCAACGTGCGCGAAGGCCAACAAGCGTAGGGCGAGGACCCGTCCATCGCCGCTTGCGGCTTTAATTTAGGCTTGTTTTTCTCAGTCAACGTGTTTGTTTTTAAATTTCTCTCTCTTTTTTTTTTTTAACAAGAACCCCAACTTTTGATTTAACGAGAGAGGGGAAAAAAAGCAGCATCTTGAAGCTTCATTATTTCTTCTTCACTCGCACGCTCATGTCTTTACTCCTCTTATTGACAGACAACTTCACCTCAGTCCTAATGGATCATAGGCAGGTGGCTAATGGCCTATGCAAGACATTTTGGATTTGTGCAGTACAGATAAACTTGCCTTGGTTTTTATTTGTGGGTCTGTTGTGTGGAGCCAGGAGCAGCAGCAGATCCTCAGTAATTATATCTGGGCGAGTGGAGTTGTGGTTCAGCTTCTGACAGACTGCTAGCAGAGTCAGTCTTTCAAAACCACTTGTGTGTATGTCGCTGGCCTGAGCTGTGGGTCTTTTGTCTTCCTCTGCAGCCTGAGAGAGGGGTCCGCCTGTTGGTCAGCAGCTGTCAGACAGCAGACAGAGATGGAGATAGAGACAGAAAGGCTGGGTCGGGAGGGTGAGAGGAGGGCAGCGCTCAGGTTTCTACCGTTTTTATTATTCATGTGAGGACCAGTAAAAAGAGCCGAGCTGCTTTGTCTGTAGTCTGCTCAGGTTCCTCTGAGGAGAAAACACTGTGGCAGTGTCTAAACATGTCTAGAACTAGTCTGTGGAAACACGGAAATACATCATAAATGCATTTTAGAGTGGGCTCTATGCAGCGCCCCCTGGTGTGTGGACAGCAGTGACGACAGTTTATTTTTTATTATTATTATTATTATTATTTTTAAACCAGTGAAACAAGGAGCTTATTAACCAACACTAAGATCTGTATCATGCAAGTGCAGGTTTTAGAAATATTAACATCTTCCAAGCTAAAAAATATGTGAAGTCGAAAGTTCTTTTTCTATTTTTATTACATTCAAGTACACATCGTGTTCATTAAATGCTGTTCAAATAAATTCCAACACCAATGTTTTGTAAAACCTTACTACTTTTACAAGTCAGAGATTTGGTGCATGCCACTATATGTAGAATATAAAACAAATGTTAAAATAGTCATGTGTTAGGAAGTTAACTCCTTTGTTATCTTGTTTGTTGAGATGAATCAATTCAATAATTTTTGCCTATACATGCAGTGGTGCGAGTGTCGTCTTCATTTAGAGCCTTTTGTTTATTTACATACAAGTTAATTACCATTGAGTAAATGAATGTAAAATCAGATGGACATACCCCCAAAGCAGCTCCTCTAGAAAGGAGTTGTTTTTAGGTACATGATGAGATCCCAGTTTGAGTGACTCTGCTCCTCTCACTTTCTATAAATGAATAATAGAGTATATTCTTTATTTATAAATTAAACTTTTACTTATCTATCAAACATACCAGGTTTTGTACAGGTTGGTAACAAAAAAAAAATGGTTCAGATGAAAACAGTAATATAATTTGAGAGAAAAGTAATATTAAAAACCAATAAAATAGATTTTTGATATGATGATACATACAATAAAAATACATTTTAAAATATAATGATTAAATTGAAACTAGATAAAACAGAGGACATCAAATTAAAATATTAATAAACAATAAACTAAAGTAATGTCCTGCTCCAGTGAGATTCAGTTTTTTGTGTGAGGACAATTGGATATTTTTTGAACTCTCAAATTTAAACCCTTCTGTCTGTAAGGCTGGAACAAAAAATGTATTTGCAGAGTTATATTTTGAATAAAACTTGTTGTTTAGCACTGTGTATTGAGAGGTTTAGGTTTAAATCTTGCAGTGGGAGATGAAGGGGAGTCTGGATGAATCTGATGTTCATCGTCAGTCTGTCTGTTGAATGAGGCTCAGCCCGTTTGTCTACATCTGGTTTTCATTGAGCGCCACAGAACAGGAATTCCCCCCCAGCTGCCTGCTGGGGGCGAGGGACCGTGTTGTACTGATAGAAGAATTTTCAGAGCAAAGCTGATGTTAGACCTGTGACATAATCTGGGGTCCTCCTGTCAGGTTTCCCGTCATAAAGGACTGTTTCACCATGATTGAAGCATATTGTGTCTTTAGTGACATCTAGTGGCAACAGTGTCACATTACTAGATGTCATACTGTTTGCTGACTGATTCAGGGACCAGATTAGAGCTGAAATAACTGATGCCACAGTAAGTCTACAGTGAGTCCAATAGTCACTGCAGGTCTGAAGACAGACCCCCCTCAATGCTGTCATTGCCCAGTGTTGACTTTTCTACTCTGGCTTCCTGTGCTATTTAGGATTAACTGTAAAATCTTTCAAGCTGCTTTGAAGGCGGTGCACAATTTTGCTTCAGCATGCATCAGTGAAGCTGATTCCTAATAAGTCCCCCAGGCCTCTCATGTCATCAGAGCTAGGTGCTGCAGGTGGGAACTTGTCTCAACTCTTATGGAAAACACACAAGGATGCTTTCTTGCCTCAGTTGGTTGATGTTATTGTTTTGTTTGTTTTTTTCCATGTCTGTATTTTAGGTATGTAAAAGCTATACCATCGTATTTACTGCGATGCACTCTGATTTTAAAAAGTGCTATATTAGGAATGTTGATGATTAATCGTTAATCAATTAATTGCCATTAAGTATTATACTGATTAAAACAATATATAAACCGTTAATACGATAGATGAGTGTCAGGCATGTCAGATGTATCATAGATGTGTAAATGTATTGTAGATTTAGCTGCAGTACCTGGCGAATTCTCTTACTGTTTAATACGGTCATGACCCAAGGAGGTCACTCAATGTATGGGCAGTTCGTTTTGGCATAAAAAAAACCATAGCAATGTAGAAATGAAGTATTTTTAACAGTTTGTGCACCATTTTAAAAGTGGGTGAAGGTGAAACTGATGTTGTGGTGTTTTTGTTTCAGAGAGGATCTGACCAGCTTTTCTCCAGCGTCTCCAACGGCCCGTATATCATGAGCACCACAGGTCAGATGTCATACAGTCACCTGTTGGGGCCAACACCTCAAACTTTTGGTGTGGCAGTACTTAAGGATTTTTCTGGAATTGTCTGATTTACTCCCATGGTTCTTAAAGTCGCATATTTTAATGGAAAATATTTCCTGCCATCCATTTAGTTTTCATACTGGTAAAGAACAGACAGTTCATCTGCAAATGCATCAATTTAAGAGCATCTTAATCATTTAGATATTTTGAAGGTCTTCTTCATGGCCCAAAGCTTTTCTCAGTGTAATTTCCCTTCAACTAAAACACTTGGGTAAATGTGGGACCTTTTGCCATCTACCATTACTTGCATGGACCTTAACATAACTCTTGCCACTTGCTGACAATATTATGATACTTGACATTTTGACATTCAGGTTCAAAATTGTAAAACCAATTTACAGCTCCTACCATTTCCTTTAGAATATTTTTATAGCACATCTGTATGTGATAAATTCATGTTAATGTCATTGGCATGTAAACTGTAAAAAGCAAACTTTGTAATTCATAAAAACTTATTTGTATAAATATGGGTCATAGAATAGATCCTTGTGCTACACTACATTATATAAACTGCTGCATAGGACAATATGACTGATATCTCTTCATTATTGATTCATATAATCAAAATTCTGGTTTGTTACAAACTAGTCTTAAACCTGACATTTCTTCTTGTCCATAGCCAATGGCAACGACAGTAAGAAGTTCAAAGGTGACATAAGAGGTCCCAGCGTACCATCTAGGGTCATCCACATCCGCAAGCTTCCCAACGATATCACGGAGACCGAGGTGATCAGCCTCGGCCTGCCTTTCGGAGACGTCACCAATCTGCTGATGCTCAAAGCCAAAAACCAGGTACAAATGAACTTCTGTGAGCAACTTTAGATTTGGACACAATCGTTTTTTTCAGACATGTGTCCCCCACACACAGAAACCATGAAGTGGTCGTCGTCCAAGTTTCTAAAATCCAGATCTGATGTTTACTAGAACAGGACACTTCCTAAACCTGATCATAACCAGGATATGTATGTCTCTGGAAACACACTGACAAAGATATATTTTGATGAACTGAATCAGGGACATGTCTTGTCCCTTCTGTCCTTAGCTGCTACTTGTCATGTTACCTTATGCCAGTGGTTCTCAAACTTTTTCCGTCAGGCCCCCCTTCGGAGGACAAAAATCTTTCGGGCCCCCCCTCGCCATGAATAGTCATGAAATGAGCCAGTTGAAATTTACTGAAATTAAATATCATGAGCAGTCAAATAGTGCAGCAACAACTTGCTCAGTGATCAGTAAAAGTAACGGGGGGGGGGATAGCCTTCAATTTTGCGGTGGTAGTCTCATCGGTCATTGTTGACACCATATCAAGAGCAGTGAGGAGTATGATATCCCCAGCTATTGTATGTGATTTCTTGCATTTGGCAATTCTGTTACAGGGCTCCAGACTCACTTTTCTCATTGTAGCACTGGTGCTATCAACTTTCTTTGTTGGTTGCACCAGCGAATGATTTGGTCTCCCTACGCCCTTATTTTGGTTGAGCATTGCCACAGCTATTAATGCACCATGCATGCTGATGAATAGCTGTTTTTGCATAACTTAGTTATGTTGCAATGATTTTCAGTGATGCAAGGCTTGATATTTTGTAAAATTATTTAACTTGAAATATATTTATTTTGTCACCAATCCTCTTCTAATATCAGTCATTAACTGGACACAGGATAAACAATTGCTGAAAATGCCCATGGGTAGATGCTACATTTTACCGATGTTCCCTAAACGCCTCACGTGCTGCTCCGGTAGATGCTACATTTTACCGATGTTCCCTAAACGCCTCACATGCTGCTCCGGTAGATGATACCAGGTGTCTGCAGTGCAGCTCCTCTGACAGATGAGCAACCAAACATTAGTTGGAAAACAGTGGAAAGCACGTTCTCACAAATTTGCCCAAGTTGAAAAGTTTTCTATGAGCAGCATTTTTAGCAGAGTTATTTATTCATTTTTTAAAAAATGAACCGGTTTTTCTACGAGCTGAGCACATTTTAAATGTCCATACTACTGGTGATCATGTTTTTAGAAAAACTGTGATCGTAGGGGTGGGAAATATGGCAAAAATATCATATCACGATTTTTTTATTATAAAATCCCGATTTCGATTTTATTGCGATCGTACATGCATTTTTGAGACTAAGTACAGCTGGACCACAGATCACTCGTTGCGAAAAACTGGACGTTCTGAACTTTGCATTCAGTCTTTTCTCTGCATTCAGAGTAGAGCCATGGAGTGGCAGTGTTGAAGTATTTTCGGCTGGGCAGCTTGTACTGCGGGTCAGCTAGTTTGAGCAGGCATTTGAACTCCTCGTTTTCTACTGTCTTGAACGGAACCATATCTTTTGCACTCAGTTGGACGGCTGTGGCTCAGGTGGTAGAGCGGGTTGTCCTCTCATCACAAGGTTGGCGGTTCGATCCCCTGCCCCGCCACAGTCGAAGTGTCCTTGGGCAAGACACTGAACCCGAAGTTGCTTCCAATGGCAGGCTAGCGCCTTGCATGGCAGCTCTGTCGCCATTGGTGTGTGAATGTGTGTGCGGAAGGGTGAATGAGAAACATTGTAAAGCGCTTTGAATGCTGCAAAGGTAGAAAAGCGCTATATAAGTGCAGACCATAAAAGGTAACTGCTTCTGTTACCTCTTTCCACTGCTTGCTTTCCTTCTCATACGGAGCACCTTTATCAAATGCCTGTGTTAACGTTGTCTGTTTGGGTCCAGCTGCTGCCTGTGGCTGCAGTGCTGCTGGCAGTCCTGTCGCTGTTTGGCTCTCTGTTTGGCGCCACCACTTTGAGAAACACTGGCATAGAGGATCCAGATCCAGATAATCCAGATTGTCCGACAGGCCAGCATCATCTTTTTTGGCACATCTTTACTTGTCAATTGATAGTGAACAGAGATTTTGTTTTAATTTTTGTTGTCAGTACGCCCTGCTAGTTGAGGACTGCCCTATGCTAAACTGTCTTCTGTCCCATGTCTCAATTCAGGCCTTCTTAGAGATGAACTCAGAGGAGGCAGCTCAGAGCATGGTGAGTTATTACTCAACTGTGATGCCCATTATCAGGCATCACCCGGTCTACGTCCAGTTCTCCAACCACAAGGAGCTTAAAACTGACAACTCTCCCAACCAGGAGGTAATACACACAACTGTTAGCATCTATTAGCATGTATGCGGCCCTCATCTTCTGTCAGCACCTGTTCATCCTCCATCCCTCCGTCCTGTCACAGAGGGCCCAGGCAGCTCTTCGGGCGCTCAGTACATCTCATGTGGACACAACGGTGCCTGCTCCAAGCACAGTGCTGAGGGTGGTGGTGGAGAACTTGGTCTACCCCGTCACCCTGGATGCCCTCTGCCAGGTAACTTCAATAGAACACGCAAGTCAGCAACAGCACAATGTCAATATGCGCCTATCACTGTTAGCAATGAGCAATGATGTAGAATCGCAGTGTCTGTCGTATAACTGAAAACATCCATCCATCCATTATCTATACACCGCTTAGTCCTCACTAGGGTCACGGGAGGGCTGGAGCCTATCCCAGCTGACTTGGGGCAAAGGCACGGGATACCCTGGACAGGTTGGCAGTCTATCGCAGGGCTACACTTAGAGACAGACAACCAAGCACACTCACATTCACACATACGGAATAGGTTCTCCGGAGAGAACCCACCTTGCACATGGAGAACATGCAAACACCACGCAGAAGATCCCGGTGTCTTCACCAGGACGAGAAGCGGCAACCTTCTTGCTGCGAGGAAACGGTTCTAATCACCGAGCCACCTTGCAGCCCGCTGAAAACATTGTTGTCCATAATGCAACATACAGGGAGTACAGAAATATTAGGCAAGTTTTATTTTTGAGGATTAATTTTATTATTGAACAACAACCATGCTCTTAATTAACCCAAAACACTCATTAATATCAAAGCTGAATATTTTTGGAAGTTGGAGCAGGGCTTTTTTTAGTTTTAGCTATTTTAGGAGGATATCTGTGTGTGCAGGTGACTATTACTGTGCATAATTATTAGGCAACTTAACAAAAAGCAACTATATACCCATTTCAATTATTTATTTTCACCAGGGAAACCAATATAACAGCTCAACAATCACAAATATACATTTCTGACATTCAAAAACAAAACAAAAACAAATCAGTGACCAATATAGCCACCTTTCTTTGCAAGGACACTCAAAAGCCTGCCATCCATGGATTCTGTCAGTGTTTTGATCTGTTCACGATCAACATTGCGTGCAGCAGCAACCACAGCCTCCCAGACACGGTTCAGAGAGGTGTACTGTTTTCCCTCCTTGTAAATCTGACATTTGATGAGGGACCACAGGTTCTCTATGGGGTTCAGATCAGGTGAACAAGGAGGCCATGTCATTAATTTTTCTTCTTGTAGACCCTTTCTTGCCAGCCACGCTGTGGAGTACTTAGATGCGTGTGATGGAGCATTGTCCTGCATGAAAATCATGTTTTTCTTGAAGGATGCCGACTTCTTCCTGTACCACTGCTTGAAGAAGGTGTCTTCCAGAAACTGGCAGTAGGACTGGGAGTTGAGCTTGACTCCATCCTCAACCCGAAAAGGCCCCACAAGCTCATCTTTGATGATACCAGCCCATACCAGTACCCCACCTCCACCTTGCTGGCGTCTGAGTCGGATTGGAGCTCTCTGCCCTTTACCGATCCAGCCACAGGCCCATCCATCTGGCCCATCAAGACTCACTCTCATTTCATCAGTCCATAAAACCTTAGAAAAATCAGTCTTGAGATATTTCTTGGCCCAGTCTAGACGTTTCAGCTTGTGTGTCTTGTTCAGTGGTGGTCGTTTTTCAGCCACACATGACATCAACCACTGAAACTAAAGGAAAATTCAGGATTTTCCAAAAATTCATAAAACTTGAACTGTGACTATATAAAAAACCGTAGCAGATATCACTACGAAAAGTCATAGTACACCACTTCTGATTGAGACGCACATTTTGATATGCAGTTTGTATGGGTTTTCTCAAAGCTGTGAACATCGTTGTGGAAGAATCTATACAAAAAAGCCTGAGGAATAGTAATAAGTGTGCTTCCAAGCTTATGTATTGGCACTCTTATCTATATAATGGTGAAGATTAACCCACAACAAGCTTGGCTGCTGCCAAACTGCAAGACCTCAACATGTGCTAAGGGCTGCTCTGTCCTTTCTAGTTTGGGTAATGTTTGTATGACACCAATCCAGGCATATTTTAAAGGATCGTGTGGGCTAAAATACAACTGATCAAAGTTTAATCTTTTCAGTTTTTCTTGAACTCCTTAGCTGTGCACTTTTGCAGGTGCTCGACTTTACTTAAACATTATTGGTCCACACACTGATTCTTGCTAATAAAATATATGAAGTTGCTTAGCTTACCAAATCTTTTATTAAAAAAATAAAATTGACAATTGTTTTATCAATAATAAAGGCCAGCCAGGAGACAAAGGTTGATTTTGAATTTAACCACTTTACTTTAAATTTAACCACTTATCAAGGTACAAAGAACATTTTTCGCATTAACACAAAGATGAAAAATACATATAGATAAATACATTTGCACACACAAATAAAAATGAATTAGGATAAAGGAATGACCTAACCTTAATGGCCGTTTGCATCCGTTATATTAAAGTAAAACTGAACATTTTGTTGAACAGTTTTCTTGTTGCTTATGTTGCTGGAACATATTACTATTGTTGTGTCACCCAGGCCTTGTTGAACATGACAAACATGGCTGATGGCAGCTCCATTGATAACTTGCTAAAGAAACAAATTCGCCTGGACAGTTGCTGGCTTGTGTGTCTGCAGTCTGAACTCTGCCAAAGATTTTTTATGAGGTAAAGATGCATCACTCTGTGAAACTGCTGTGCCTATGAGGAGTCACACTCTCCAATTTCAGCTTTTGATCAAACCAAGTCAACAGTGGAAATTGATCAGATTAATAGTGGTGGATCAGGACCTTCAGTATTTAATCAAGTAGCTTGTTAGAAATGTACTTAATTTAATATGTGTCTGACACAAATAAAACTACAGTTGGGAGGGTGACACTGTAAGATCAAGCCAAGACGTAATCAGAAAGTTCTTGGACTCATCGTGGTGAGCATGCCACAGTTAGGCACGTGAAATGTGCAAGCAGCAACTGTCAGAAGTCAGCAGATTGTGCTGTCAACATCAGGAACTGCGTTACACTTGATTTTGAGATACCAGGTGCGTATTTCTCCATGGACCTTTAACTGGAGCAGAGACAAACATATTCTTTGTCAGTCAGCAGCCAGGATAATCCAACCTTCAGGGGAAAAACAGTTTTCACAGTGAAGGAGTCTACAGTCTGAAACTGTGAAATTTCTTGAACAGGAGAAGGCATGTCAGGTCAAGAGCATCGGCAGCATGCTTGATGTGTTGTTGATTCCCCTGGAATCCATTCCCCACCCATTTCAAGCATTTCAGAAGGACTGGGCAATTGTATGTTGCTGCAGATGAAGACTACTACAACGAGGATTGTGGCCAAACATGCAGTTTAAAAAAAAATTTAAAATACAGTCGTGTTACTCTATGTTATTTTGAGACAGAAAACTAGATGTCCAGTGTATCCCTCAGATTTCTTACACTATTTATTCTTGAGCACAACAGAATAATGCCTTCAAAAGCACTTGAGCAGAAACCGTTCCGGATTTTAGAAAGTATGCTTTTTTTATGTAATTGACTAAACCCTGCTTCTTTTTTATGGCTCTCAGATCTTTTCAAAGTTCGGCACTGTGCTGAGGATCATCGTCTTCACTAAAAACAGTCAGTTCCAGGCTCTTCTGCAATATCCAGATGGTGCATCAGCCCAGGCAGCAAAACTGGTGAGCATCAGATATTAATAAATGCCTCCTAGTACTCTGCTCACTCACTGTAAACGGTACACTGATGAGGAGTGTTGGTACTGTTTTGTTGTAGTCTCTGGATGGACAGAACATCTACAATGGCTGCTGCACTCTGAGGATCAGCTTCTCTAAACTCACCAGCCTCAACGTCAAATACAACAACGAGAAGAGCCGAGACTTCACCAGACCTGACCTGCCCACGGGAGATAACCAGCCCGCCATGGAGCACCCGGCCATGGCTACAGCCTTCAGTAAGACCCAGCCACAATGACACAGTAACCAAGGAAGACGTGAAGAACAATTGAAACACATGACACAGGCACAGGCAACGTACACAGCAGGCTGGCTTCATTCATCCATAAGTTCTATCAAATTAAGAGACATATTTTTAGATTATTTTTAGATTTTAGATTGTCTCTACATTTTGATGTGTTAAGTGTGTATAAAACCTGACAACTTGACGAAAAAGAGAGGAAAGCAAGCAGGAAAAGCAGATGATGATGAAGGAAGGAACCTTCCCTGTAATTCATGTAGAATACAAAAGTGGAGGAGTTTAAGGAGGACCACATGAATCCAAAAGGTATTATTACGCTAAATTAGAGTCAAAAACTCCCAAGTGTCTCAGATTGTTTAAAGCTTGTATTACCTAAGAAATATGAAAAATAAGTGAAAATATCCTCAGGAAGACTCATGTTTTGACGTCTAAACTAAGCTTGTAGCCCACACTATGAGGAAGTTGGTGGAAGGCAAAAAATGTTTAGAAGCTGGAATTAGAATAGAGTGTAGAACATTTAATTTAGGCTTGACACTGGGCACAAGCATTTCAAATAACATACAAATTCCTTGAAGTTGCTTACTCAATTGAGAGTGTCTTTGTTTTACTGTGTAGGTTAAGGTGGTTATCAGTCATTACTATACTTATGAAGACGGGCCGTGGTACTGCCTGTTTTAATGTCTTTTCCTCAACCAAGTATAAGGGAAAAGTAACATTAGTCTGTCCTGGTATAAACAGGTGTAAGCATTTAAGAGAAATAAATACTGTTGTGACTTGACATTCGGACCCTTTACAATCCAAAAACCTTGCTGTCCGACAGGTTTTTAGGAAAAACGAATGGAACCCATAAAAAATAGCCATAACATACCGACAGCCTTGGATTCCGACATGTTTTATGTCACAAATAAGGATAACGGCGTATTAACTGACTTAACAATCCAACAGATTCACTTACCTTTGGTGTCACTCAACGAGCCTGTGCACAAGCGCACCGGTCAATTGGGCATGAAATCCAGCGATGCACAGTGTTCTGACAATACACTAGTCCCACTCATTGAGTGAGTTTGACCAACTAATGAAGTCGGTTTGCATGAGCTTGTTAGTAAACAACTCTACATGTGTGGAAGACAGGAACGATAGGTTTTGTGCTTTGAAATTCTTTGAAGTATTAAACAATGTGACATATTTTGACACCTGAACAAGTCTATGAACCTCTATATACTGCAGGTATATCGGGCTTATTAATCATAGAAACAAATTGATTTGATACTGTCACATGCCAGACATCATATAATTGCATCTACCAAGTTTTCACCAGCGTTCAAGAAGGCACACACCACGTCATGCACTGTCAGGGAGTGACTGACCAAGCGAAAACAGACAGGGATAACCGTAACGGTGAAAAAAGCTCTGTGTCAGTACATTACAGTGAATACAGTGTATTTGTATATATGAAATTAAAAAATACATGTGGTTCATGACTAGTCTTTTATTTTGTTTCATATAAATCATAACAATGTCATATACATAGATAGTTTATTATAGCAACTATAAACAATAAATATTAACAACAAATTACCCTTTAAGCATCAAGCCCTCCTTGTATCTTGACCTCTGTCTTGACAATCCGACAGCCTTGCTATCCAACATAAAAGAAGGTATTACATTTAGTGTCGGATTATCAAGTCACGACTGTATATGTATACATTAATGTTGCCATGGCTATTTGTTTACATTTTGGACTTGACATGTGGTGTCTCATTTACCTGCTGCACAGTGCCATGGATTCACCAGCTTTTTTTGCTGCTATGCTTGTTGAATTCACATGAAACTGAAACGATGCCAACCTGAGACAGACTTAAAAATACTGTTTTTGTGCCTGATGTCAATAGCTGTTTGGACTGTAAAATTTGATGACATAAACTGAAAGTCTGCCAGGGCAATTTACGCATCAAAGCAGTTCTTGAAATACTGGACCCCTGCTGGAGGATTTGGATGTTTTGTTACTTTAACGCATACAGTTGTTAAAATGCACATGTATAGTAGGGCTGGACGATATGGACCAAAAGCCATATCTCAATGAATTTAGGCTGAATATCGATATATGATATTATCCGATAGTTTTTCCACAAAGTAAGAGAGAATGTACAGTCAAAGTCAAAGCCAAATATAACATGTCACAAGTAGTTTTATTGAAACCGGCAATTTCAATGAAAAGTTACAAAATGAAATGAATAAATAGTAAAATAATACAACAGGTTTCCTTCACCTGGTTTATGAATACATACTCAGCTGTTCAAATAACAATAGAATGTAAACATAGATACTGTATAGCAAAGAGAGAAAAACTATAGTTTATCATAATAACTAAATATATGTTACATTGATATCTTTCTTATACAGTCTATGGTGCAGAGACCTCCAGGGGTCCATTTCACAAAGCAGGTTCAACAAACTCTGGGTCTAATCCTGAACTCTGAGTTGATCTACTCTGAGATAGGAAACGCTGAGTTTCCGGTTCCAGAACAGCGGATTTGAGTTAGTTTAATCAACTCGGAGTAGTTTCACCTGGAGTTAAGTGCGAGTACCACAACTATAAAAAGCCAGCATCAATGGAGCCCCGATTTGACTAGTCACCATGGCAACGGGGAAGCAGAGGGCTGTGTTTTTCACCCCACTAGAATGGGAAATCTTAATGCATTCATACGGCGAGTTTGAACACGCTTTTAAAAAGAAGTGCAACACCGCTGCAGCTGCAAAACAGAGGGAGATGGCGTGGAGAACATTGCTGCTCGGGTCAGTGTGTAAGTTTAAATGTCGTCCTTTGCAATCACAATAATATTACAGGGGAAAACTGGTTGAATGGTAGCCTATTAATTTATTTCATTTAGGTGCAATCCCGTGGGGGAGCAGCTTAAGATGAAATATAAAAACATTGTTCAAGTCTGGGGTTGCAGCACAATGTCATTAACAGAATATAATTTAAAATTAATTTAACAGATCTCTACATCATTCACCTGCAATCCCGTGGAACTCCTCCTTGATGGCTCTGACAGGTTTATTGTACAGGGAAAACGGCAAAGATGGGTAAAAGCCGTTTCAGGGCGAGGCATACTTCTCTGACCACCCTGCATACAGTTGCCTTACTCAAGTGCTCTGCATCTCCGACATTGCACAAAAAACTTCCATTTGCAATGAAACGCTGCGCAACACACAATATCTGCTTGGATGTGGACGCATGACGACGGTTGGTAATGCTGCACACGTGAGGACGGATTAGGTTGTATGTAGCTGAAGGACTGTGACACGAAACGGTACCGCTCAAAAAGATAACTGTCTGGAAATGCTAGAACATCTATGTCTGACAGCCATCTCCCGACGAATATTTAATTGTCTGGGCAGTAATGCTGCCACAGGATTGTTATCAAAAGGACATGCCATGTTAGTGAAAAAAGTCGCCCTTCCCAGCCCCGGCTTAGGGCGAAGGCAGGGGACACCCTGGACAGGTCGCCAGTCTATCACAGGACTACACTTAGAGACAGACAATCAAGCACACTCACATTCACACCTTAGGACAATTTAGAATCACCAATTAACCTCAACATGATTTTGGACCTTGTGGGAGAACATGCAAACTCCACGCAGAAAGATCCCGGTGCCCCATTTAAAATTCTCTCGATATATTTTTTATATCGCTATATCGCCCAGCCCTAATTTATAGGATGTTCTCAGTGAGGTTATTGGCCCCTTACTTGAAACACAGGTGTTCTTTCTTTTTTGCAGCACCAGGTATCATCTCAGCTGCACCATATGCAGGAGCGGCTCACGCTTTTCCACCGGCCTTTACCATCCAGCCTACAGGTGGGTCTCATCTGGAGAGATTCAGTCTCACCTGAAGGGACATGTAGAGACAGATGTCCATCACAGATACTGCCTACTGACAGCCAAGTGTAAAAGTCACTTTGTAGAGGAACTTTCAAGTGGTCATATCATTGATCAGAAATGCAGACTGACTATACGATGACTTATACTTTTGAGAAATCCTGATTTATCCTGCAGAACATATAGAATCATAATTTTCAACATTTGAATCCACAGAAATGACTAACGTGACATAAACAGCAGTTCTATGTATTTATAATTTATGAAATAAAATGAATATTCCTTAAGTTCAAAGATGATACTTCTTTTTCTTCAGAATAATATTAGTCGGACATATTCGTCTTTTTTGTATTTAAGGCTGCAAGTAGAACTTAATTATGTTATCAATTCATCTGCAGATTTTTTGATTGATTAATCATTTAGTCAGTAAAACTCTAGAAAACAGAGAGAAGTGGTTTGTGTCAGTAGTTTGCATCAGGCGTGTCCTGCAGTTTTTAGAGTGTTATTTACTCATGCCACCTCTCCCAGTGTCCTCCCCTTACCCAGGCCTGACGGTCCCCGCTCTGCCTGGAACCTTGGCCTCTCTGTCCCTCCCTGGGGCCACCAGGCTGGGATTCGCCCCCATCCCTGCCGGACACTGTGTCCTGCTGGTCAGCAACCTTAACCCCGAGGTGAGTCAGACTCTCTGTCTTCATGGAATCTGATAATCTGTCAATCTAACCTTCTCATGGTGTGACCTGCGCTGTTTAGTACCTGACTGTGGCTTTGGAATACCCGACATCTCATGCAAAGATTTCACGTTTATTATGTACTTATTTGTATTCTGAAGCATCACGCAGACAGGACATGCATTATATTACATTAGAGTGAAGTATAGTTATTCAGTTCTTCCAACAGCAGATGCACTGGATAAGTTGTAGCCCACTGTAGCTTGTATTTGTTTATGAAATCCTGCTACGACTTTCTGGCTAAAATACGAAAACAAGAAAAAACTTTGTAACAGGGCTAGATTACTTTCATTATGTGTTTGAGTATAGTCGCACATCTGCTGCTATAAAAACACCTGTGCAGTTTATCACCTTGGCCTATTATGAATTGTTAGCAAGAGGCTGCTTAAATGCTGCGGTGGGCTATGTTTGCATGGCTCTCACTCTTGTGCCACTGATGTTCACAACCAAATGAGTGAGTTCAGCATGCAACCAGTTACATACACAATGGCAGTTGAACAATGCTGGCATTTAGCTTTCAATGTGGTGTACCCAGAATCATAGTTTAATGACAGTGGAGATTCTTCAAACGCTCTGGTCTGTGTTTGCCATACCTATGAGGCTGCGTTGTGCGGATGGGCTGAACTTAACATGTACTCCTTTGCTAAAGTTGCCAGGGGAAGACGCAGAGTTTTAATTTGAGTTTACACACACAAAAAAAGACTCACTCACGCAGTGGCTGTATTTGTTGGGTGCACATGCGTGCTGAAACGAAAGGTTCATGTTGAAAGTCTTTGGTTCAAATATGTGTAACACCTCTACAAGGGACATTTAAATTTTCCACCGCTATAATATTAATTAGAGATGTTAGTGGTCAGAGTTGTTACAGAGATGCGGGTCTCAATCTGATAGAAAGTTCATGCTCCACCCTTCATGTCCAGGTACTAGAGTCCATCTGAAAATGTTTCTCTATGAATTATTTCCACAACATGCAGTTTGGCCTCCCATTTCTTCTTTTCTTCTTTCAGACATTAATGACATTTTGCTCTCACTGATGTTTTTATTGTTGTGCCTCACCTTCTGACTTCCTGTCATGTATTTTTTAATGCCTTCATTTTAAACTCTGTTGTCATGAGATACCCCCCCCCCCCCCACACACACACACACACACTCACACACTTGTACACACACTTGTGCATTTGTGTGTGAAAATGTTCATATTGACATTACCTGACCCCTCCTTTACAAAGGTAATTAACCTTCTGATTGACCCCTCCCCTGTCTTTTTTTCCCCTTTTAATTTGTTGCCATGGAAACGCCTTGGACCCCCACCTGTCCTGCCCTCCCACCTTTACCTGTCCTGTCCCTCCGCTGCCTTCTCTGCTGTCTTTAAAGAGAGTTGCGCCCCACTGCCTCTTTATTCTCTTCGGTATGTTGCCACTAGCTTCTTATTTTGAATTATCAGTACCACCTAGTTGTTTTGATTTTTTTAATTTCAAGTTTCTGTTTGTTTTTCCTCTTTTTCATTTGTTTTTTGCCATGAAAAAATGAGTGTCTGTTGGTTTTGTCAGATTTTGTGTGGTGATTGAGTTTATTCACAATATTTGCAGCTTTTTCTCAGTGGTTTTCATGCAAATGAAAGTCTGATAATAAGTAATGTAAAACGTTCGAACTCTAATATCTATGTATACGTTAGTGAGAGTAGAAAGAAGCTTTAGAGCTCCATTAATCTATTACATGTTAAAAAAGTGTAAATAGAATCTAAAGGAAAATCTGAAGTGTCAGCAATAGTTTGCAAGATTCCAAAACTAGAGTCAGTTGAAAGTTCAGCCTCTGCTTCCCTGTAGCTTTGTAAAATAATGTACACTAAGCTACATTAAAGCAGTTTGCAGCATTGCGCGTGACATTATTTCTTCACGTAGGGTTGAGTACTGTAGCCCAAACGAATAGTAGCTCTAAGAAGAATGTTACACACAAGTGTGGTGATGGTTTTCCAAAGATCTGCTGCAGCTTGATCCTGGAGGTTTTAATATCCTGAATGGCAGACAGGCTGGAGTTTCTTTATCTCATTCACAACATATGCTGTTCTGTTCTTTAACAATTATTTATAGGAATCGTTATAAAAGCAGTCATCACATTTATATGACATTTTGATATCAGCCAATGCATCATTGGTTTTTACACAGCTAATGGGGCTGCTCATGATCTCTTTTAAAGCTGCAACAGTTAGTCGATAATGACCAGCAACTGTTATAAGTTATTTTATGGTCATTTTTAAAGTACAAATCTCAATCTCAGTGCCAGCTCAGCATTTGTAAGGATTTCCTGCCTTTCTTAGTGTTATTTTATAAGAAATTCAATATTTTGTTATATTTTGGACTGTGGGACAAAAAAAAAAAAAGGACAAGGAATTATCGAAATTGAAAAGCTGAAGGAGTCCCAGCGTCCTCCAGTGTGCCCTATGGATTGCTTAGACTAACTGAGCAGCACAAACTGAATGCCCTTCATCTCCACTAGTTTGGGGTGAGGATAGAAATCTCAGAGATATACATAGTGTTTCTGCCAAAGCAGAACGAGTTTAGTTCTGGTTCCTAACCTTTATTTATTCTGAGTATGTACACCAAAAATGTTTGCAACTTAAAAACTTGGTACTTGTTGGTAGCCAGAAAATGTCAGGACAAGAAGTCAGAAACATGATGTTGTCATTACTGAGTGCGTCTTATTTATGGTGGAAAAACAATGAAAATGTCTGTGAATAAAAACATTTTGCATACCATTAATCTTGCACATATTTGTCTCCATCTGTGCAACATCTGTGACTCCCGATAATTCATTGGATTAAAGTAAATATTTTAAATAAAATCCTTGTGAGCCTTATCAAACAGACGTCAGCCCAAACAGTTTCAAATTTAAATGTAAAATATAATGTTCAGACTGGAATGTTTAGCGAACTTTGAGGAGCTGCATTTATTGTGTGTTTAATTATTTTAATGAGTCTCAGTTTTTGAGTTTGCATGCGGGGTTCCTTTCAGTTTGCATGTCTTCAGTGCTGAATCAGCTGCTCTTGGTTTTTTAGTCAATTCCCATAATTCATAACTCCTATACGGTGTAATATGGCATTTTTAATTTTCTCTGACCCTTACCCTTAATTTCCTCACTTGCATTTCCTGTGTATAACCATTCAGGAATTCCTGCCTTCTAAATTAAATTCACAAATTTGTTAGTGATGGCACTTTCTGATGGCAGCATCTCACTGCTGCACTCCCTTCACCTCCAGAGTTTAACATCCAGCACCTTGACAGAGGTTATTTGGTAGTCCATCCCTGTTTTCAGTTAATTTTCCTCCACATAAGTTTTACTTGACCAATAAGACCAAGGGTCAGTGGCTTGGCAGGCTGGAGTCAGACCAGTTTCATGCACAGCTTCTTGTCGGGTTTAATGGGTGTAGTTTTATGTGTAGACAATTGCATTTGAATGACTTTCTGTGTAACAAGGATGTAACTTGTTCCTCTTTATTTCTGACTGTGTGTTAAGGTGTTTATGGTGATGTGATGAGAGTGAAGATTCTGTTCAACAAGAAGGAAAACGCTCTGGTTCAGATGTCTGACAGCACACAGGCTCAGCTAGGTAACCTGCTCAGTGTGGTCCTCAGGTTCTTGCTCTGCCACAACCAAAGTGTTTACAAGTAGAACTCCTGATACATGGTTCTTTTTAACAGGTCTAGAAATATTAAAAACGTGCTTTTCCTGAGCATTTGATTTGTACATCGTACACACCAATTCAAAACATTGTGATCACCTACATGGTGGTTCTTCATGTGCCACCAAAACTGCACCAACCCACTGGATACTACCAGACCTTGGATGGTGCCCTGTGATGTCGGGCTCCAGCACAGATACCACACGGCATACTTTGGCAGTCGTCCTGTAAGCTGGGAGTTGAGGTTTGGAGCCTCCTTTAATTAGACTTGCTCTAGCACATCTCCCAACACCCTGTGGCTGTATGTTGCTCGTCCCTCCTCAGACCACTGTTGTTCGGGACTCACTGGTGATGTCTAAGAATACCTTTTAAGCATTGTTATTTCAAAGTGGCTCAGACCTTTTTACCTGTCCATTTAGCCTACATACAACATGTTCAATAAGGGAATTGTCTGCCTATTGAATTTCAGACTTTGATATGCAACGTTCTTACTGCATTTAGAATGCCAGCAATTTCCCTCTTCTGCTATCTCTGTGTTACTCTTTTTTTTTTCCTGCAGGAAACAGCAACAACCTCAGAGCAGCACTTGAGCACACTTAAAATTTACTTTTTGCAGAGGTGCAATTAGTCAAGCCACTTTAGTCACAGTGTTCATGTCCCTCAATGCAAATGTTCTACCAAAACAATCCCACCCATTACCATTCTGAGGAAACATCCAAGTCACATCCTTTGTTTTGCCTCACCCACTACGACTTTGATTAGTTTAATGAAATACAAACAGGCCTAAATGTTTTTCCTCCTGTAGCAGAATGTGTGCAGCCACATTATGTTCTACAAAATAGGCTGGCAATGCGAGACTACAAGATAGAAACATTAGTCACTTCCTTAGTGAGTGCTCATAGTGTTTTGACTCATCAGTGTTGTGTTATGGTGCTGTCCTAAGTTCTAATCTGATGCATTTAGTCCCCCTCCCTCTCTGCTATCTGCTTTCAGATGATGGCAAAAAAAGTCCCTGAAAAGTATGTCTGTAAAATCTATAAGGTTTCTCAGATGTTGATAGCAAGAATTGCTAGTTGGAGATCTTAACTCAATTTTTATTTAATTGGGATTTTTACCTTTGTGATTGTGAATGAATTGTCATGAACTGCTGGTCATGTTAGCAGCTAAAAAGGTACATGGCAGCTTCTGGGTGCTGTCCCAATCCTGAAAGTGTTGTTCATTTTTCTATTTATTAACTTTAAAGTTGATGGAGCCATGAAGTGATTTTCAATCCTATTCACAAAGTGACGGAGATATTTGAAATATTGTATAGTGAGGTCAGGTCAAGGATAGCCATCTTCTTCCTGAAGTCCTTTAGGGCTAGCTGAAAGCAAACTGACGGAGGAGAACAGCAGCAGGGCAGCATGTTATGCTACTGTTAGTGTGCAATATTTTTGAAATGGTGAGATGATTTAAATCGTGATATTATGACAGAGAAAGATAGATGATTTTTTTCTTTTAAGATTCTGTCATAGCAGTTTTATAGAAGATTGGTCCTTGTCAAGCAAGAAGGATGTCAGCAGTATCTCTACTCATGTGGTTTGCAGCCATGAGTCACCTGAATGGCCAGCGACTGCATGGAAAGCCTCTGCGCATCACCCTGTCCAAACACACCAGTGTCCAACTTCCTCGTGAAGGCCATGAGGACCAGGGCCTGACCAAAGACTACAGTAACTCTCCTCTGCACCGCTTCAAGAAGCCTGGGTCCAAAAACTACTCCAACATTTTCCCTCCTTCTGCCACCTTGCACCTCTCCAACATCCCGTAAGTCATTTCACTGCTGGAATATGAACTGAAATATGAACTATAGCCAGCGTATGGTTCAAAGCTATTTCACTCTCTCTCTCC